AGTTTACCGCCCCTTGAGCCCATAGCCAAATACTTGCACATTCATTCAGTAGGGTTGTGGTCCTAGATTAGTCTGCCTTTCTTTATTTTTGGCTTTGTTGTCCTAGATTTTTACAAACACGTAATTATTTTGTTGAACACAGAGCAGGACATTTACATAAGTTAACAATGAGCAAGTAATGTTCCCACATGTATCAGTTGAAGTTTTAAAATGACTATTTGAACAACAACTCTGCCTTCGTTTACTGTGCAGGAGATGCAAATCTTTAGTGTGCTATTCTCTGGCTGTCGACTGCTACAGCTTCCCTTGGGTGGCAAATTTCTGATTTGACAGATCAAACAACTTTCACTTTTCCAATCAACCTTTTCGTTCATGCATCTATTTTTCATATACATGACACCAAAATCTTGGGCACATTTATTTATTCTATGACCACCCCTCACAGTCTTGAAGAAAGTGGTTGGACTGCACTTAGGAGAGAATTTTTGACTGGTCAGAAAGATTTTAAGTAATGATCGAGTTAAATTGAAGGTGGTTCTTTATGTGGGATTACTAACCTACACCATCTCAGACTTGGAGAAATGGATTTTTTTTTTCACATTGGTTTTTGTGCCAGCATATTTATGTGTGTCCAAGGCAGGTGTCTCAGTGTCACACTTAGGATTTAGTTTGTGTGACACTCTCCGAGACAATAATGCCAGCTGATGAGGTTACCCAAACGGCAGTGGAGCCTCAGCGTGTTGATAGTGATGTAAAGTGAAGTTAGCGGGTGAAGCACACATTCGGGCAGTAGAGGATATTCCATCAGAGACTGTGTGTGTTTAGGGTGGCCACCTGCCCTGCATCAAGCGAGAGAGGGCCTGACCTTAGCAGCTATAATATCAGTGCAAGCTCTGACCCTGATCGGGCCTGTTGGGTGCTTTAAAAGGGTGAGGGGGAAAAGGGACATGAAGGGGTGGTTACCAATTCTGTCCTTGTAAGGCAGGGGTGTTCCACCCTGTCTCCCCCAGAGCCATCACCCATTGAGGGGTGAGTAATGTGAGTAATAGAGAGTAATAGGATCCAGATAGTGATTGTGACCATAACCCTATTGTATCTTATGTCAGCGGGGTCAGAGGTCACCCACCAGGCATACTGGTCCCGGCCTCACCCGACCCATTTGGGCCCTAAATGAGTTTACCCAACACTAATTACCAGGGGCTTGCCAGTAGGCCATGTTGTCTAACGGACCTGACAGCTGCTGCTATGGTCCTCTCACCAACCAGTCCTTTATTGCCATACTTACTTATTCACTGTCAATCAGACACTAAGTCAAGATTGTTTGTCATTTTAGCATATGGGCATAAAGTGCCGGACCAACATTTACCATCAAACTGAAATCATGATAAAATTCATGCAATAGTTCCCAACAACTTGGATAAAGTGTACATTCTTCTGTTACTCTTAAGGGACAACCATATACACAGGCATTCTAGTTAGCAATCGTGACAACATCATTTCAAAACAAGACAGACATTTCGGACAGTTCTATGCGAAAACAACTTGCCAATGCTTTGGGGAGGCCCTTTATTCGTGTGTGTGTGTGTGTGTGTGTGTGTGTGTGTGTGTGTGTGTGTGTGTGTGTGTGTGTGTGTGTGTGTGTGTGTGTGTGTGTGTGTGTGTGTGTGTGTGTGTGTGTGTGTGTGTGTGTGTGTGTGTGTGTGTGTGTGTGTGTGTGTGTGTGTGTGTGTGTGTGTGTGTGTGTGTGTGTGTGTGTGTGTGTGTGTGTGTGTGTGTGTGTGTGTGTGTGTGTGTGTGTGTGTGTGTGTGTGTTACTATAATCAAGCTGTTAGAGCAGCAATTGTGGGGAACCTTATCCGATTAGTTTAAACTCAAAAACTAAATAAAATACTTGAAGGGGAATTACTTATTACACTTATTAGTATCTCAAAACACTATGATTTAGGCAGTTTTGATGCAATTAAAAAAATGGAAGAAAGCAATATGCAAGGATGGTTTGCTTATCCACTAGTGAAGCATTACATCTTCTCTGATTTGCTTTCATCTGGTTTGAGTTCATATTTCTTAAATTTTCCTGACCCTAAATATTAAATGTATTATGACATATGTGTTTAAACTTAAATCCACATTTTCCAAGTTAGCTAGCAAAGACTATCAAACACTGTTGATATTTAGAGGTATCATCTGGTCGGGATGGCCCATTTTTCATTCCAAAACTCTGTATTTTTTTGATGATTAAAAAATGATGTTAGCTTGCATTTTCAATTGCATCAGTTTGGGAGAAATCAATAAATATATAACTAATCACAAAACACTCCTCTCTAGTCAGCTATGTAGCTATACCCCTCTCCCTCTTCGCATGTCTTGGTGCGACTCAGTGGAGGAACTGGACACAATATGTCCTTTCAAAATCATTGTACTTACTGTAATTTCCAAAGATGATGATACATCAGCACACAAATTTATGTGGACATCTGTACTTATGCTCATTTCAAGCTCTGAAAATATCACAATTAACCTCTCCATGGCTCACTTGTAAGACATTGAGGAAATGAGCAAATTACATGCAGTTTCTCCCATGGCAAATTTACTGGTTTGTCCCCAACATGCATGGCGCGACACCGGGGGTAGTGGGTATTATAGCCCTGTATATTCATGGTTGCCAGCCAATCGCAGGGCACACCGAGACCAGCAACCATTCGCGCTCACATTCACACCATGGGACAATTTACAGTGGTCCATTAACCTGCCATGCATGTTTTTGGAATGTGGGAGGAAACCGGAGTACCCGGAGAAAACCCACACAGGCACGGGGAGAACACGCAAACTCCACAATCGAACCGGGTACATCTACACTGTGAGGTCGACGCGCTAACCACTGGACCACCGGGCCGCCCAAATTTATTTATGTCGCATTTCATCCCAGAAAAGTCTGAAAGGGCTTCACATGCCCACAGTTGACAATTATTAATGACATCCCCTCATCTTAACCTGAAGGAAAACCAACAACAAAAAAAACATGGGGAAAATGATGCCCGAAACAATTCATCCGGCTTATATATATATATATATATATATATATATACAGGTAGATATAAATATTTATTGGGGGGGTCGGGGGCAAGGTACACTTCCATTGGTAGCCATTCATGTTCACACCATGGCACTACCACGACCACGCTTCATGAGTTGGTACAGTATACGTTGGATTATGAGCATTCCTACTCCATTACTCCTCACATCACTTAGCTACAAGCTCATCCGCCCATGATGTCATATCAGACCTGTAAAGGTTTTTTTTTTTTTTTTTTTTTCCGGTGTTATTAGTGAGGATAAGCGATTCTGACAATGGATGGATGGATGTTTGGCTAAGTCTAATTATGCCTTCCTGTTTTTGAGGCTCACTAGTGGTTTACTTGTTTGGATGAACTTTCTGTATTCACTTTGGACTAATATTTTCTTGATTGTTGTCCTTATCACATGCAGTGCCTGGAGAGTGTTCTCGCAAAATGTTGTGAATGTTTTTTTTCCTTTGCCAGGAAAGAATTTCACAACAGTTGTTTTCTGTGATTTTCGGAGTTGTTTGGTGCTGCTGAGATCACCGAGTGTGTTCTTTGGCCAAATCTATTTTTGCTATCTCTCTGATGGGTTCATTTTGATTCTTCAGCCTAATGGTGGCGTGCTTCACTGATAGTGACACAGGGTTCTACATTAATAGTGGCCCCGGTCCACTACTTGACTGTACCGGGCCACCCATAGTTCACTGACACTCGCCCGACTGGGCCGTAACACATTCCTTTCATAAATACAATGAAATCAACATGTTCTTACCTTTTTAAAATATTTATTCTGAAATATTTGGGCTTTTATCCACTTAAATTGATGATGTTTTTGCATGTCAGATTTTTCCAAAAGCAATGGCTTGAACATAAGGCCCCCAAAATGTCAAATGTTAAATATTCACTTACATACTGCAACGAAAGCATACCACACAGAAGTAATATATTCCTAAAGTCTTAAAAAATATAGTATAAAGATGCTGATTATGAAATAATCATTGAAACTTATTGTACGATACGATATCATGAATATACAGGGCCAGTGCCTGTTCTTGCAAGGGCACCACCCAAAACATGCATTTCAATCTCATTCGGAGAGTTAATAGATTAGGCGTAGAAAAAAAAGTAGTGTGTTTCCGGTCACCCGACCGAGAATTTCTACGTCGAAAAAAAACTTTATGGTCGGCATTTTTTTCAAACAACAATCTACATTTTTGTTTAGAGGGTTTACATCGGTGCAAACTCTCGCGATATTCACGTTGAGCGCATGCGTCGTTTGCCCTGTCGTCTGTCAACAACATTGAAACATCGCGGCGGCCGCGATCTCCGACGACAGTTTAAACCGCGTTTTCTGTGTTACAGTCGCGTGCTCGCACCATAATGTTAAGAAAATAGCATCCATTGATGTATCGAAAAAATAAAGCGAACTATTTGATGAACACCACGGGCCGAGTAAAAACCGAGGGCGGAGGAGGACGGCGGAGGCAGCGACGCGCCCCGGCCCCCGAGTCCGGAGCGGGGAGAAAACTAAATAGGTGGCGGCGGCGCCGGCCGCCGAGCGGCGGGTTCAATGTCTTCTTGTTTTATGTTTTATGGTTATTTTGTTTACATTTTTGATTGGAAAAAAAGAGATTAAAAAAAAAAACTTTGTCCGACCTACTGACCCTATGCCGAAATTTCTTGTTACCGGAAACACACTATCTTTTTTGTTTGGCCTTATAATAATGAAGACCTTTTCCGATGGATATATAAATAATGATTTTTAAACAATTATTCATTTATTTCAAAATTTAGCATTGATTCAACTACCAACACTGAGTTTTAAATAAAACTTAAACGAACAACCAGAATATAAATTACTAAGAAGTACAAATATTTTTGTTTTGATTTAATTAGATTAAATACATTTGGTAAAACTTGTCTTTTTGTGTTTGTGTGTAGTTCCTTTGTAACAGGTACTGCTTGTTGTGAGAACTTGTCCCCTCTTCGCATCTGGGATGTTGAACGGTAAGTCAAGACTGCAGACAGCCAATGACAGGTAGACACCTCTAATCTAACACGCTACAGTACTCCCTTATTCCACTTCTTCATTTCAACAGTTTTTTGGGCACTGCCACACAAAATAATGCAGTCCCACCTTCCTGTGTGCAGTTTCAGAGATGAAAGTCCTCCGGATTTTCCCGGAATTCCGGGTTTTTCAAATTTTTATGAAAATTTCTCCGGAGAATTTAGGAAAATAAAATAAATAATGAAATTAATCCGGATATTAGTTGACAACATTGAACGAAGACGCGTTTGAGTTCGTTGTATTGCTTTCACGAGCGTAGCCATATTGAGGCACTAACACTAGTAACGGTAAAGAGATTTTTGTTTGTGTAATAACGACAGAAGACATGATGGCGTTTGACTAATGATTTAGTAGAACGAATGGCAACTTGCAACAACAGTAGCAAGCGTCATTTTGCCTCTTGGGTTATACCATCTCAACTAGAATGTGGGGGGATAGTCCCCAAACAATTTTCGTCTCTTTATAAACACACCTGCTAAACCCCAGTGGAACGAATAAAAGACGCCGTCAACAAGACAGTTGTTGTAAAAAAATATATTTGGCCAAAAAGGGAAAAACACAGATTGGCAGAAAATCGTGTCCGTCCGACTTCGAGTGTCGTCTCGGCTAACTTAGCTTAGCTGTTGTCGTGTGTGACGTCATTTGCGTCGACGCTGATTGGTTGAAATCAAAAGACGCGCTTGCGTACATGTTCGCGCTGAAGCACGCACAGCAGAGCGCAGCGGACTATCTACTGGTGAGGCTCGCTTAGCTTGAGTGGCGTCGCCACAACAGTAATACCCTCGCCTCGCATTCTCATGGCCTCGCCATATCTTGGAGATTTCGAAATTTCGGCCCGAACGGAAGCCACAAAGGGTACACGTGTGACTTCATAAATTCTGATATTTAAAGGTGTGTATAAGCTAACACCGCCACCTTGTGTATCCGTGATTTTTTGCAGAGCTGTATCTCATTTGGAAAGGGTGGTCCCCGAAAGTGATGAACAAAAAAGTGGTCCCCGTAAAGCATATAAACGCGTATGTGTGTGTGTGTGTGTGTGTGTGTGTGTGTGTCTTTATTTATTTATTTATTTGTACCGGAATTTTCAGAAAAGTCCACTTTCATCTCTGAGTTTGCATGTTCTCTCCGTGCCTGTGTGGGTTTTCTCTGGGTAGTCCGCTTTCCTCCCACATTCCAAAAACATGCATGGCAGGTTAATGGAACACTCTAAATTGTCCTGAGGTATGATTGTGGGTGGATGGTGTTTTGTCTATGTTTGCCCTGCGATTGGCTGGCAACCAGTTCGGCGTGAACCCCGCCTAAGACAGCTGGGTTCAGCACCAGCATGCCCACAACCCTCGTGAGGATAAGCGGATTAGAAAAAGAATGGATGGATAGAAAAACATTATTTTGTCTTTGAGATGTACTGTCATTGTTTCATGTGTATACAGTATGTGGATTTGTGTGATCAACAGATCACCGTTTCATCTTCCTTAGATGTTCATCCACTTTTTAAACTGATATGTTTTCATCGCACCCGTACACAAAAAAAAAAAATTGACAGATCTAGCTCAATTCCTTGTCAAGCCAAACACGAGCCCCTCAACTTTGAGTTACTAAATGTACGGTTGGCTACGGAGACTGACAGTATTTGATGGAAGTTTTTACATGCAAGAAGACTTTGGTTTCCATTCGATTCAGGCTGGATTTCTCTAGTGCATGTAAATTTGCCAACTGTGGAGCAAAGTAGAGCTCGGAGCTGTTTAAAATTAGGGAGTTGGAAAATTCCTGTCTGTGAAAGGCACGGCTTAAAATGTATCCATTCCTCACAAGGCCCCTGTAATTCCTAGCTTTACCTGGTCAGATTAAAACAAGACAACACAACTAACAATATGCTGCTTCCTGTTCCCAAGGGCTAGAAATATGAGAAGGAAGAAAGGACAAATCGGGAGCTGTGAGAGGATGTACACTAGGGTGGTCCACATTTTCATGGCAAAAAAAAAAGTTTGTCGGATTCGTCGGGCCGGGTCGGAATTCTTGTCGATACTATGGTACAAGGTTCTGTGCAAAATTTCATTCCGATCTGATGATATTTTCCCGTCCCGCAAAGCGGCCAAAGTTTCCACCATAACAACTGGTCTCAATAGGGTGAACATGTGTATTTTAACCGTGTATTTTGCCATGCGTGACACTGGCTGGGCTGAATGTTGCCCGAACGATCACCTCCTGACTAACTAACCATTCCATCGCTGCTCTCAGCAGCGGGAGACAAACTCAAACGCACGCCTAACACACAACGGTCACCGACTGGCGAGCTAATATCTTTCAATTGAAGTCGAGAATCGCCGGAATTCTTACTGGACGCTGAGCTGAGGACGCTTTTCGACATCGAAAAAAAAAAAAAAAAAGAGCACGAGGATCGGCAGTTCCTGCTGGGCCAGGAGAAGCGTTGCGTATTGCGTTAGTCGCGGCTGTGCCTGCGTTCAGCATGGCCGCTGCAACTGCAAGACGCTCACGCTCAGCCACCGAAGTGTGGCTTGTTGGGCAGCCCGAAGCTCACCACGGCTCGTCGGCGCGCTCGTCACCTACGGGTGGTGAACGACTTTGCGGAGAGGGGCGTCGCCCTCATCAGCGCGTTCTGCGGCGCCATTACGCGCGACGAGGAACAGCGACAGCACCTTCTGCAGGTCGTGGAGCGACACCGGGCATTGCACCCGTGCGCGAAGTAGGCATGGGATGGCACGCACGGCGGATTTCGTTTTTTTTGCGGTCTAACAGTGTCACTAGTGTTGATGGACATTATAGACAGATGGACAGATAGACAGATGGACCAGTTAACATGGACCAACAATCTCACCAGTGTTGAAGGATAACCACGGTTGCCTTTTTTGCAATACATGCGTTCCTGTCTTCCGTCTTTGAATTATTGCAAGTGCGAACTGAGCAAAACAAAATCCTTACTGTACGGGAGAAACCGTACTACCATTCAGCCCCGTAACATTCTTTCCATAGGGGAAACTTTGGTCGCTCTGCGGGACGGGATAAAATTATCCGATCGGAATAAAATTTTGCACACATCCTTGTGTCATAGTATCGACAAGATTTCCGACCCGGCCCGACGAATCCGACAAACTTTTCCAAAATGGACCACCCTAATGTACACACGTACAAAACTGTTGGTGCCCCTCATTTAATGAAAAAATAATAATACAAATGTATTAAAAATCAACCAGTAAGATCAGACATCAATTCTGAATTCATCTGTTGGGGCTCAACATTTTAGTTTGACAAGGGCAGGGTACTGTGGTTAATCATTATATATAATAATAGATACATTTTATTAAACTTTTTAACTTTAAACTTGTACCAACATAGAAGGTGTTAAACCAGTTTAATTTATTGATTTGACCAACACACCAGATTATGGGAAAGTCCAAGGATCTCAAATTAAAAAGTAAAGTTTTTATAACATAAGGCATTAACAATTTCAAAACCACTGTACAATAAGATTGCCTGTGTTAACAAAACGAGCGCATACTGTATATGAATATACACTTGTAATTTGGCAGGGAGTTACAGTACAATTGTGTTTGTATTTCAAGTCTTCGCTTAGATGTGTTTAACCTTGCACACCTAAATTCAGGACAGATAAAAACACTTGAGTTTGCAACAGTTTTCGTCAGGGTGTCACGAAAAACGCTTACGATCACCAATTCAGATCAGCAATTCAAGCAAATACAAGGGGCGCCATCAGAGCAGCACCCGTTTCATGAGAAAGGAGGCACCCTTTTTAGAATCCAATGGCTTGACTGCAAAATTCCCTGCATTCCTCAACCCTGAAAAGATTGGCTCCAATGTCTGAGCTGGATGCTGTGTAATACAATTTGCAGCAGCATTGTCCTTGTAGTGCAGATTTCTTCGACATTTAATAGGATTTGATTATGGCTCCTACCAGGACCCCTCTTGGCCACTCCAACAGGAAATATTGCATTCCTGATGTTTTGAGCTCAGATGTGCAGGGTAAATTGGGTGGACATGAAACAGGTTGGGAAGCTCCCCTCTGTTTGTTTTAGTGAGTAAAAACCTCAGCAGGGCCACTATTCTCTACTTGTCAGACAGCTTTTGACACCTGGACTTGTTTCTCCGTGCCTCCCCATGCTTCTCGAGCTCAGACTTAACATAGCCTCCAACCACTTGTCACAAAACACACACAGACAGTGCTTTTAATTAGCGGTCCTCACACTAGATAATGCCCTTAGCTTTTCCCATTTTTTTCCTTTGACAATTCATTAATGATTTCCCCTTTCACAAGCTGTGTGTGTGTGCGTGCGTGCGTGCGCGCGTGTGTGTGTGTGTGTGGCCCCGAATACCAACCTGGCTCCTGCAGAGAGACCAGACCGGCTTAAATCAGGACAGAGACCCTGTGTGTCCCACAGCTAGAAACCTCTCATGACAATCACAGGGTCTGTGACGGCCCCTACCTCCTGTTAGCTGACTTTACAAAGTAGCTTCCATTTTCTATTGCATCGTATTTCAAACTTCTAGTTAATTATTTTCAAATAGGCTACTTAATTTGTCTTACTTAAATTTAACTTAATTTGGAATTTCAAAATGGTACATTATATTCTTTGTAATTTAGGCCTACAGTGTCATCGTTTACACTAGTTTTCAGTTCAGAGTTGCTCACGTGCCTGTGGTAAGATCTCGGCCAGGGGTGGTGGGCAACTGGAAGCCCACAGCCTACACTCTGAGTGGCCCCTTGACCCCCTTAATTGACGCCCCCCCCCCACGGTGTGTGTGTAAATATAATCACACACACACACACATATATATATATATATATATATATATATATAAAATTTTCCATCCATTTTCTAGTCCACTTACCCTCACGAGGATCGCGGGCATGTTGAAGCCTATCCCAGCTGTCTGTCTTTGGGCAGTAGGTGTGGTATATCCTGAACCGGTTGCCCAGCCAATCACAAGGCACACATGGACGAACAACCATTCGCGTTCACAATCACACAAAGGGACAATTTAGAGTCTTCCATAACTTGCTATGCATGTTTTTGGAATGTGGGAGGAAACTAGAGTACACAGAGAAAACCCACACAGGCATTGGGAGAACTTGCAAACTCCACACAGGAAGCCCAGAGCCGGAATCGAACCCTGAACCGCTGCACTGAAGCGGATGTGCTAACAGACACACACACACACACACACACACACACACACAGAGTGAAAGAGAGAGTGAGAGACAGAGAGAGCGAGAGAGAGAAAGAGAGAGAGATTTCAACGTCAATTTTCCTCTTATTCTCACAAGGGTGGGCGTGCTGTAGCCTATTCACTTCTTGTGCCCTGTCCTGTCCGGACATACGAAACAAAATTAGTTCCTTATTATTTGCAGATGTCTATCCACTTTTGTTAGCAACCTGGTCTTACGTTTGCTCACTCAGTTCTGTTACAGTTCTAAAGAATTGTAAGTTAAGCAGTTCAGAAAACGCATGGATGTTTGAAGATTCATATCGTTTGAATACATTGTCACTCTGTATTTAGGTTGTAAGTTCTTGGATGACAAGGCATTATTTGTTTATGAATTAACATGTTCGTAACTTTTCCACTTTGTGATTCGTCTTTTGGGGGTGCTGTGCTAAACCGCTCGGTTTTAGTGTTAAGGAGAAAATGAGGGGTCACTACCCCACTCAAGCTCCAACTCAGCCAAATCAAGAGCTCCCCATCGGCTCAGACATTGCCCTGAGACCTGGGCAATGAGTAAGCTCTCATCCAATAAGGCGCCCTGCGGAGATGTTCGTAGTCCAATAAGGTGGCACCCTGGGGTAAAGCTGAGGGATTACCAGACAGACCCTCTGGCTTGAACTTCAGGGCGAGGAGGGGAGGTGACTTGCTGTACAGGGCTGCTTGGTCACCAAGGCTAGCAGACTCCTATAAATGGTTGCTATGGGGCAGGTATCAAATGTGTGAAAGTCACACACAGTCACGGTCACGAAGGGTATTAAGTAGCAACAAAGAGACAGTTATAATGCAATAATACGCACTGCTGAGTGCAGGTTATTCTTCAATAATCAAGAGACCTGCAGCAAGCTGGACAGAACTGTGATCACAAGAGCATGCATGGTACTACCCTAAGTTGGACAGTCACACACGCTCACACAGGTCACGCCGCATTAACCTAGAAAAACATAGTTTATGTATCACATTAGCAGTTACTTACGCCCACTGATTTGTACTCAAGTGTCCCGTCTGTGTTCACTGAGCTAAGCGTGACTTTTCGATGTTTTAGTTGCATTTAACGACATGACTAAAAAAATATTCTTGCAGTTACGACTGCTACTTCTGCTGCTTTTACAATGAGTATAAAATGTTAGAATAGATTATTTGTCTCCTTTCCGGAGCACAAGTAGAGGTTTGATGTAAGTATACTTCTCTCAACCAAGCATTTTCAATACTTGTTCCTCTGCATGAGGAGAAAAAGTATTGTCTGTTTGCTAACAGCGAGATAGAAAAACTACAGGGCCAATTACGATGAAACTTGAAGGCTGGTACATCCGCCAAGCAATAACCCCCAAAATTGACTCTCGTGACTTTAATTGTAACCCAGAATCTTTGCGAACCGAAGCAGTTTTTTTTCCAGTAAAAAGAATGGAATTGGAAAGAATCTCTTCCTTCCCCAGAACCAAGTCACTTTCACGTGTGGTTGGTGCAGACACCTCACAAGTAGCAAATGTAGCTACCCACCAAACGGGAGCCTCCCCTGCACCTTCAAAAGTAAAAGCTAAAGTATGTTTCTGTTTTCTCCCGATACACCTACTAGTAATAGCCGCATTCTATGTTTCTGTTCCAATTTTCCTGTATTCCCTAACATTTATTGTTGTAAATTCCAAAAGATTAGTTTAATCACTTCTGTTCGTGCAAAGTGCTGGGTTGGTTCCTTTTTTGCCCATGTGATGCCACATTTTTGCCAACCTGATGTTTTGGCTGGTACAAAAACACAAAACAAAATGCATGATTTCTTTTCTGAGATAATAGTGTCGTGTTAAGTGTGTGTAGGCAAATTGAGTTTACCTGAGGTTAACACGAATCCCAAATAAACTTTCACTACAATAGACTACATAGTTTCTAAATGAGATTAAGAAGACTGGCTGCAACAAACCCAGGGAGACAAACATTCTGGGGCAGGAACAAATTGTAATTTGCATACAAAGAAATAAAACTAACTTGTTTGTTTTTTATGCTCTCGTGATGTAAAAATCTTTATTATGTTAGATTAATACTGGATACCTTTTCAATTCATGTTTATTTTTCGTGTAGTTGAATAACCGTCATTGTGTTAGCAAAAAAATGTGACTTATGGGGGGGGGCAGGGAGGGTCCTACCTCATTATGCATTTTTGGGCTGGTGATCATCCGTAAAATACAGTACGTAATTGACATTAAAAAGTAATCACATGAGAATTTTAATGAACAAAATACCTTCATTAGCTACTCAAGCGGCAAGTAAAACTCATTCCAGCCGATGATGTCATTGTCAGAGTGCAAGCTGTTACAACAGGGGTTGGCTACCCAAAATCTTGAAAGAGTCATATTGGACCAAAAAAACAAAAAACAAATATGTCTGGAGCCGCCAAAAAAAAAAAAAAAAAAAAAGCCTTATATTAGCCCTACAACGAAGGCCACACATGCTGTATGTGTCTCTATTAGCTATATTAGCCTTCTATAAAAATTACTAAGTTGGCTACAAATACACAATGCGGCTTCATGTTTAAAAGGTTTTTTTTGGGGGGGAGGTTTGCCTCTGCAGCGCATCTTGTAGAACAGGGGTGCCCAACCTTTTTTGCCGGAAGGCCTACTTTTTGATCAACCAACCTCCCGCGATCGACCCGTTACCGCACACGCGCGCATACGCACACACTTACACACGCATGCCATAATGACCAGCAGCCATAACGGCCGCTAAGATGAACGAGGCATGGGATGCATTTTTGCGGCGTGTTAACTATCATAGCACCGTTTAAAAATGCTTCTCTCGGCCCTCCAGATTCCCATTCTTTGCCAGTACCCTCGGTGAATTGTACATGCATCCCTCCCTGCTAATAGAAACGTGTATCGCATGCTATGACGAAAATCCTTGTTGACAGAAATGTTGAAATTTAATATTTATTATAAACATTTTTACAGCATTAGAAAATGTGAGGAATGTCTGTGTAATGTTTGTCCTCCTACAGAAACCACATTAAAACAAAAATTATATTTCTCTCCGCCATCTTTTTCCATTTTCAAACATTTTTGAAAAAACGCCAGGGAGCCACTAGGGTGGCGGTAAAGAGTCGCATGTGGCTCCAGAGCCGCGGGTTAGAATGACTACTATGGCAGGTCTAGTAGTTTTAGCAGAAGTTTTAATACTGTCTTTTGTATTTATTTATTTATTTTACAATTCTGTTGAACCACAATTCAGAAGCATTCGTCTGACATTCATTGGTTCATTTTCATTACATTTTTCCCCCATTATTTTCAGATTCAAGTAAATTCAGAGACCGCTGTTTATTATTGTTTCATTTACAGAGGGATACCAACCACTTTGTCCACATGTAAATTGCAACAAGTTGTACGTTTGCAGCTCCAAGGGTGTACTTGGGGCGCACTCCTTATTCAGTCCTCCTGCCCATAGCCAGAAAATTGGGTGGGAATTGAACCAGGTCACAACCAGATGTTTAACTCTCAATTTGTAATCCTTTCCTTGCCTTCAGGTTGGAGTGTGTCTGCAGTCTGGGTTCAGACTTCCGCCGAGGGGCTGGTGTGTTAGATATGGTGTTTGAGACACCTTTTCACCTCTTCACCTGTGGCTATGACACATTTATTCGACTCTGGGACCTTCGCCTAAGTCCACAGTGAGTGCAGATCTGTCCTCTTTGCCAAATCAAAGTATTGCTGCACTATATTTATTACCTATTGGGAAAAATGTCTTCGTTATTTAAAGGAGGCATATTATGCTTATTTGCATGATTCCACGCAGTTCCCGTGTGTCTTGAAAAAACATGTCTGTAACATGCTCTTGTCAAAATACCCCATGGATCCATTTGACTAACTTTATTTATACAGCATATTTTTGCGCTGGTGGAATTGGCTTGTTTTTGGGGACCTCTATATCAAGCAGTGAGCCTTAACCTCATCCCTGCCCGGATAACTCTTTGCCGTTGGCAAGCCTGTCTTTCGTTAGATTGATAACAAGATGAGACGATCTTTCCAGTGCATTCATGACAGCATTTGGCTGTCTTCTTCTGCCTCACCAGGCAGTGAGTGTTTACGGTGCCCAGGAAAAATTTTGTGGTGTATGGGCACATCCGCAAACACAGCCAAATCCAAGCCCAGCCTCGCCCCACTAATGCTGGTAACACTCTTAGCCAATGCTGATCTCTGTTAACAATATAGCTCTTGCTGACCTTTTGGCTTCAGCATGATCGTTCTCCGGCTGATGAAAGTGGTTCTTTTGCTCGGGATCTTTGGCCAGCGTCATTGCCAAGTAATTGACTAAGAACTTACCAGGTGTGGTTTTTATGTACTTAATTTCACATTTAATGTGTGGGAAGGAACTCTTTAGACCTAATTGTTTTTACTGTATAGAAACATCAAAGTGTAAATTTGCCATAGGATGTCCCCTTTAATCAATCTGTCCTATGCGTTACCACCAAAAACACCACCACGCCACCTATTGCATGATTTTTGGAGAAAGTATTTGTTTTCTCTTTTGACAAATGACATTAACATACACTATATAGACAAGAATATCCCCCTACATTTGATAATCAATTTGTTAAGCTATGCCTTTTACTTCCCCCAAAAGATTCATTTTTCATCAGAGCAAGTTCTTTTGGTTATTGTATGCTTCCAAATTAGTGTCAACAGTTTGGGGAAGGCTGTGGTGGCCCAGCACACAAAGCAAGGACCATAAATGCATGCTTTTGTCATTTTGCTTTGGAAGAACTAGCACAGAAAACTGGAACCAAAACAAAAAGGGTGAGCTAGAAAGCCCTCTCTCAGGTCCACAACATCAAGGGGACCTCTGACTTCACGTCTTTTTTTTTTTTCTTTTTAATAAATATATGAATAATCACCCCCCCCCTTTCTTACCAGAATCATAGCTGCAGTGCCAAGCATATACTTACTTCCAGGACCCAAAAGCACAAATTCAAAGGTTTAAAAAAAAAAAAAAAAGGAAATAGATTTATTGAGTCGTCAACCAGTGTATAAAAGTTTCGGGGGGGGGGGCGGAAAAACTGGAAAAAAATACAAGAAAAGTAACGACAAAGAATCTCAGCGAAGACAATCAACAAAAGTAGCAACAAACGATGACAGATGAGAAACAGGAGGGGAAAAACTAATTTCTATAGCATGAAACAAGGTCAAGCTCACAAACGTGGGCTGGTTCAAGACATTGCAGCGTACAAGACGACCTGACAAAGGACAGGCGTAGATGCAGACTATTTATACATTTATACATAGGGAATAGGCCACAGGTAGAGACAGTCACCAAAATACGGAGGAAATACGAAAGCAGGAATTAAAGCTTCTGAAACAAGTGTAAACAATTACCCTTAATAAAACATGACAACATGAAAGACCGAACATGACATGAAAGACTGAAATAAGGGGACTTAACATAAACAAGACAGGACAAATAATAATGCCAGTTTTGTTGAAATAGTGTGATTTGCTTTATAAAGTTGTGATTAAAATATTTTATATTTGCAGTAACCCACCCACTAATATAAGCCATCAAATTGTGTAAATTAATTGGGACGAGTGACATCCACTTGGGATGGTAGCGTTTTTTTTTTTTTTTGATAGATTTTGGGGTGGTGGGATCCAGTCAAGTAAAATTAATATGACCTGATTGGCAAATCACTCGGGATTCACAAAAGGATAGGGCTGGGGTGAAAGTTTCAAGAGGGGGTCCCTCTTTAGATATCAATAGTTAATAGAGTCCATCTTAACCACCATCAAGAGGCTCCCAGGGTCAGCTTGAAAGATAAGGCTGTCTGTCAAACATGAAAAAGAAAAAAAAAATATATATATATACACACACACACACACACACACACACACACACACATAGATAGATAGATGGATAGATATAGATATATAGATATAGATATGCACACACACTAACCCAATTCCAATGAAATTGGGGCAAATAAAAACAAAATACAATCATGTTCAAATCATGTTGATTGAATAATCTACAAAGACAATATACTGTATGTAATGTTGAAACTGATAAACGTGAATGTTTTAGCAAACAATATTTACCAGCTTTTTTTTTTTTTGGAATGTGTTGCAGCAATAAAAATCTGTTATTCGCTAAAATCAATAAATTCAACAGTTGGTTTTATTTGTTTAACACGTCTCATTTTCATTGGAATTGGGTTTGCATACATGCGCGCGTACGTGTGTGTGTGTGTGTGTGTGTGTGTGTGTGTGTGTGTGTGTGTGTGTGTGTGTGTGTGTGTGTGTGTGTTTCGGGTGAGTGGGTGTGAGAGAGAGAGAGTGAGAGAGAGTGAGCGAGCGAGAGGAAGGGATGGGGTGATGTTTATGTGTGCCCATGTGTATGATGTGGCTCTTTGCAGTAACCCAGTAAAAAAAAATTGGCTCTTCGTCTCTGACTGGTTGGCCACCCCCTGCTTTAGGTTTGTGAGGTAATTGGAATCAGAAGTCAGCAACCTGGAGTCCAATCAATGTGAAAAGACTGAAGGTGTTGGGTAAAGCTACCCTGCCCTATAAAAAACATACCAGTTTGGCGTTTGCTATTCTCAAGACGAATTGTCTGATGTGAACCAAGCCTCGCACAAAAGAACTCTCAGAAGACCGATAATTCAGGATTGTTGACATGCATAAAGCTGGGAAGGGTTACAAAAGTATCTCTCAAAGCCTTTATGTCCATCAGTCCATGGTGAGACAAATTGTCTACCAATGGAAAATGTTCAGCACTGTTCCTACTTTAATTAGGAATGGCCGTCCTGTAAAGATGACTGCAAGAGCACAGTGCAGAATGCTCAGAGAGGTGAAGAAGAATCCTAGAGTGTCAGCTCAAGCGAAAATCTCTGGCGCATGCCAACATCTCTGTGGACGAATCTCCAATATGCAAAACACTGAACAAGAATGGAGTTCATGGGAGGACACCACAGAGGAAGCCACTGCTGTCTAAAAAAACCCACTGCTGCATGTTTGAAGTTTGCAAAAGATCACTTCGATGTTCCACAGCACTCCTGGCAATATATTCTTTGGACAGATGAAACCAAAGTTGAGTTGTTTGGAACGGACACACAACACTATGTGCGGAGAAAAAAAGGAACAGCAAGCACACCAACATCAAAACCTCATCCCAACGGTGAATTATGGTAGAGGGGGCATCATGGTTTGGGGCTGGGCCGCTTGCTCAGGGCCTGGACAGATTGTTACCATCGAAGGAAAAATGAATTCCCAAGTTTACCAAGACATTTTACTGACGAACTTAAGGCCATGTGTCCACCAATTGAAGCTCAACAGAAGATGGGTGTTGCAACAGGACAGTGACCCATTTACCTGGTACTCCTGATCACAGAGGAGTACCAGGTAAATCAACAACAGCACAGCTTCAACAGAAGAAAATACGCCTTCTGGAGTGACCCAGTCAGAATCCTGACCTCAACCCAATAGAGATGCTGTGGCATGACCTCTAGAGAGCGATTCACACCAGACATCCTAAGAACATTGCTGAATGGAAACAGTTCTTTCAAGAGGAATGGTCCAAAATTCCTCCTGACCGTCGTTGGTTGAGGTTATTGGTGCCAAAGGGGGGTCAACCAGTTATTAAATCAAAGAGTTCACTTACTTTTTCCACCATGCACGGTGAATGTTTACATGGTGTGTTGAATAAAAATACATGACAACATTATTTGTGTATTAGTTCAAGCAGACTATTTGTCTATTGTTGTGATTTAGATGAAGATCAGAAAACATTTTATGACCAGGTTATGCAGAATTCCAGGTAATTCCAAACCATTCACATACTTTTTCTTGTGTGTGTGTGTGTGTGTGTGTGTGTGTGTGTGTGTGTGTGTGTGTGTGTGTGTGTGGCACATGCAAGTCGCAAATTTTCTCCAAAATGGACGGGACGCCTCAAAATGTGGGGTGCCTTATGTGTGCAGGTTTAAAATCTGTGAATGTTGTGTGACTTTGATGAGCGTTCCACTTGTGATGAGCGCTCCACTTGACTGTCTGATCTTGTACGGACACGCTGCTTATATAGAGGAAAGGCGGACGTGACTGAGGACAGCATGCGGAAGTTAAAGGGGGAAGGGCATGCATGAAACCTATAACCATATTTGGAAATGAATAGCAATGGCATTTCAATGCTTGGAACTGTTTTGTAAATTAGCAATGCAATGAATTATTCATTGGCCCAGAAAGTGTATTGATTGATGTCTAAATTCAACCACACAATATTTCCAGGTGCCACATCTTATACAACTGTCCACTGTGATTTATCACGCAGTGTGTCCTTTTGTGTGTGCTTGCCAGCCCCTGGTCTTTCTTAATCTCTTATTGATGAGGCTGCACTAATGGAAGATCAATGCCTATTGATAGACAACTTGCCCCTAAAATGTTTTCCTTCTCACCACAGTCCAACCCTGCTTATGTTTACAGAAGATCGTATCTTGAGATTGTTGTCACTGTGTTACTAGCACAACTCTAAAACAGTTTGAAGGAGGCATCCAATGAAAAATTGTTCTTTAAAATGGCGTCTGTACAAATAGTTAGGTCTTGTGTTTGTAAGCAAGCTGGGCTAAACTCCTCCTCTTAGCTCGGCTGGCTGAAAGGGCGCTTTTTCAAGCAATGGCTGAACTACACA